TGTTAGGAGATTACTGTGAAAAATGTGCCATTCTAATATTAGATATTAATAATGGGAAACCAGAAACAGAGCATATAGGAGTTCTCTTTGTAATATCTTTGTAATTTTGCTGTGAATCTAATACTATTCTAAAATAAGAGTTTTTTTTTAAAGGAAAAAAGGAATGGATAAGTGAGAAAATAACTTTGCAAAGAAGTATGATTGAATATACTTATTTTTTTAAAAAAAGAAAAATTATCTTACTTAATTGTAATTATTTTTAGTAACAAAGTATTAGTGACATACCCTGCGTCAAGAAATTTGGATGGTAGGGCTGGGGCTGTGGCTCAGCGGTAGAGCACTCGCCTAACATGTTCAAGGCCCTGGTCCCAATCCTCAGCACCACATAAAAATAAACAAATAAGTAAAAGAAGGTAATGTGCCCAACTACAACTAAAAATAAATATTAAAAAAAATTTGGGTGGCCTAGTGCTGCAATCAATGGTGCCTATAAAATGTACAACTCGCCTTCTTGCTTCAGATTGTCAGTGACTCAGGTTTCTTCCTCAATATCTAGTATAATATCTAGTATTCAACTAGTTGATATCTAGTATTCAACTCCAGGTGCACCTGGATTCAGCGGAACCTCAGCTTCCCGGGAAGGCTCAAAAATTGTTGAAAGCATTATTTTAATTAACCTAACACATCCAAATTCTAATTTCAACGCGTAGCAGCAAAAATGCTAATGAGATCATTTGCATTCCTTTTTTATACTAAGTATTGAAATCTGGTGTGTATTGTATACTTATAGCACATCTCCATGTGTTCTAGTCACACATCATGTGCTCAGTGGCCACACGGGATCCTATACCATCAATTGGTACCAGAGAGGACGGGATGACACATGCATATACAACCGATCATAATCTCCAAATGTCTTAAAGTGAGGAAATGTAGTTGGATAAAAAAATGGACTATCTTGCCCTTATTCATGAATGTGCTTGAGGACTATGGGTTTCACAGACAGGTGTTGGGACTTCAATACAGTTGGGGTGTGTGGAGATGTGTAATGGTGTCAAGGACTGTCATGCCACACCTGACTTGGCTCCTTCTTTCCTTCATTGAACAGATATTATTGAAAGTCTCCACTGTGCTGTGCTTTGCTAGGTGTGGAAGGTTAAATGTTGCGAGTGAAAACCAGGTGAGTCTTCTGCCTTCATGGAGCTTCCAGTCTACACAAATGGAAGGGTAAGTACCATTACTGAGGGAGTGTATTATCTGAAAAGCATTGAAAGACAATCATAAAACTGAAAGTTGTTCTGAATTTTATTATCACCATGCACCTGTGATTTTAAGCCTGGTCTGTGATAAAATACTTGAAGGGTTCCAGAACACATCACTGTAACATATTTTGAGCTGAGGCATTGGATATCTGAAATCCTTTATCTGCCTAGAAACAGAGCCTCTCAAAAGAACTCAACTACCACAGATCCCTTCCCTGGGAGCATCTGGGAAGACTGACTGTTAATACTGGAGATGAGAAGTCAGTGCCACACCCAAACACCCTACAGACATTGTCCTCAAACTACTATAGCTCCCATCTGCTCTTGAAGAGCTTACTAATCTTTCCAAAAAGTGGTGTTTTGACATCAAGAATCCTTTCTGTCCCCTTCTCCTATTGAGATCGTATACATCCCCCAACTTCTAACCACCTCCTTGAGTCACCTTTTGTGGGGAACATCAGTAAATGTGTGATTAAGTTTGTCTCTTCTCTTGCTGATCTATCGCCAGTTTAATTTTCAGAAGCAAAGAGGATTGATAAAAAAAAGTTTTGCCTTTCTGACAAACTCACAGGAAGACTTTTAGGCATTCAAATTCCTGTGCCCCACTCTGACTTGCTATCCTATCCCAGGACCTCCAAGAGGTCCCGGCTCCTCAGCTGAGTCTGAAGTCCATTCACGTTAGGGAATGCTTGATCAAAACAGGGATAACAGGGTTCTTCTGCCATGCTGGTTGGGAAGGACTTTGAGCCCTTGATGGAAACAAGTCCTAACATCCCTGGTTAGTGATGTCACCCAAGGACAGCATGGTGAGGGGTGGGCCGAGGTGGCTGGGGAAAAGTATTCACCATAGGGCCATGTGTTTGCCATTCCTGTAATTCTTTAAGCTATTAACAACTTCTGTTTTTTATTTCCTTGCATCTTCTCTTTTTCTTTTCTGGAATTGTAGTTTTGATCTCTTTTAGCAAGTCCTAAAAGAACTTTATATCCTTCCTCTCGAATTGCACATCTCCGATTTCAGAGCAGATGCTCAGGAGCCAAGAATCACTCTACAGTGCCCATTGGGCTTTTCCTTGTTTTTTCCATTCCTTCTTCTTTGGAGTTCTGGAAAAAGCTTGGGAGTGATTCATTAGTCATGTGTTCTAACTTTAAAAGAAAAGAATCTCTAAGCCTTGGCAATAAAAGAAGATGGTTAACATGTGATATTATTGCATTCCTTTTCCTTCTCATTCACTCAGCTGTTCTTTTGGAGCACATTCTAGGGCTCAGTCCCCACACTGCTCTGTATTTGGGAGACAAAGAAGACAGAATCCCTCTCTTTGGGAAGTTCCAAGTCAGATGTGAAAGCCAGCTTTCAATTCCAGTAATTACAACATGTTAAGTCTGTGACAGGAGGTGCTCTGGGAGCACAGAGGAGGGAGAGCACATTTCTATTTGGAGAGGAAGATTGAGGGTTTTCAGAGGTGCTAATCAGCCCTTTACCCCCACGGGTTCATTCATTTGTTAAACTCATAACTATTGAGCACCTCCTATGTGCCAGGCTCTGATCCAGGCATTTGGAATATGTCAGTGAAATAAAATAAGATCTCGGCTCTTGCAAAGCATGCCTGGTAACAGAAGGACCAAATGAGAAGTAATTGAGTTGTCAGATGGGGATCAACATGTCAGATATATTAGCTGGTAAAATTGGATGGGAGAACATGGTTCAACTGGAATTGGATTCCTTTCCTCCCACCATCTGCAGGCAGGTGGAACTTGCCTCATCCTGCCAACTCAGAAGGATCTACCTTTGAAAAGTAGGTTCTGGTCCCTGAGCTGAATGTGCTTACTTCAGAGGAGAAGCAGGCATCCGGTTACCTTGAAACAGAGGGTTTTCCCTAGTCTCACAGATCAGACACACCATTCTTTCTCACTAGAACAGGGTTCAAGATGGAGAGGTCAGAAGTTGCTGGTTTAGAGCCTGGAGGAAGGCAGGGAAAGAGCAAGGAGTCTCCTGCACTAGATCAGAAAGTTCAGGAAGGAAACAATTAGATGATGAGGAATTTTTTATCAAGGAGACAGGGAAAGAAGGGGTTTCTATCCAAGGAATAGCCCATGCTCAAGCAAAGGTTCTGCAAATAAAGCCCGGATAATGTTAACTGTTTTCATCTCTGTTGCAGGCCAAGATAACAATGCATTTGAAAGTTCTTAATTGGCTTTGTTTTTATTCTAGAATTGGACACTTCATTCCATAAAAGAGAGTAAGTGTTCCAATGAGCCAATCAGAGGCGGCTGATTTTAGAGAGGAGAAATGCTGAAGAAAGCAAAAACAAGATTGTTCGTTTCAAAGTTACCTTCCTTGCAAGGTGGGGACAGGGAGACAGAACGACAGAGAAATAACTGATTGGATGACATCAGGTTGTGTTTTTTTTTTTTTTGCACAAGAATTAAGGCAGAGGGAACCTCATTATGTTGATTGAAACTGGTTTTCTTTGGCAAATTTTGGGCTGTTATCTGTCCTGATTTTGTGTTGTTCAGACAAATGGCTTAGTTCAGTTTGGTGCTGTGGGACTCTAGCATAGCTGAATCCATTTTAATTTGTATTCCAGTCTGTTGGGGCCTAGTGCAGGAGGCTAGTCCAAAACATTGACCTCCTGTCATGTTTATTTAACACTCCATGACACAGACAAGGAAGCTGCATTGAACCCTGTCTTGTGCCCTGCCTCACGTCCTCTTGGCTACCATTTATTCCAGCCATTGCTGCAGCTTCCATTCTCCCATCCCATCTCACACCTCCTATGCACAGCACCTCACTTCTCCTGCTCTCTGCCTCAGGACTATCTAACATATAAAGAAGGCAGGAACAAATTGGTATTTATGTATGCATGACCTGAGAGTAGGAACCTCCATGGGAAGAATGGAGCCCATCTGTCCCCTCTTCTGTCCTTGGGGCATTCAACATAGCCTTCAGAGGTCCTTGCTTAGTTACCTAAAGTGGGGGCCAACTCCAGGATACTCCTTTGTATTGGCTTCCTCTCTTTTCTGTTTTAATTTTTTCAGTTCATAATTCAGATCATTTCCAAATTACCTGCTTGAAGGCTCTTGACCAGGCTCTGCTTTCTGGGGGAACCCAGTCCAAGTCAGAAATTGCTGTTCAGTCAGGATGCTACAGATAGTAGATGGTAGGAGAGGAATTCAAACCTCTTGCAAAAATGTTTTTTTTTTTTCCATGCAAAAACAGGTCCTTTCCTCCTCCTGCTAGCATGTCTTTCTTCTCTGCATGTTTTTAGTTGCTAAAATACATTTGCACTCACTGGGTCTTCTAGGAAAAAAGCTAAAATAGCTAAGAGTGGAAAAAATAGATATTTCATAAAGTTTGAGCCCATGAAACTTAGATTTTTGTCATTGGTTTCTTTGGAATTTTCAGTCATTGTCATCAACGGTTAAATTTGGAAAGTTTTTTTTTTTTCAAAATACTGGTTTTGGATTGACTTCCTTAACATTATTTGATTTGGAGTCTATTTCATGTGGTTTTTATAACACATAAGCATTTTTTTAAGACACTGCATGCCTGTTTGGTTTCAAACTGTTTTGAAACCAGATTACTTAGGCAAAATATTTTTGTAACTTTTGTACTATTTAAAAATTAAAGAATTTTTATTCTAAACAATTTAAAACTCTTTAGCAACCTATTTATCTGAGTACTAAGATTTCTGGATAAGTTTCACTTTATTTAACTTCAAAGCAATTAGTCAAATTATCCTGGATCCCAGACAGATTTCAAAGCTGTGTATTCTCAAAATGGCTCATCTAAATAACATGCAAAGATATATGGAGCATTTTATGGTCTCAAACATTGGTTTCCCATCATATAAATATGAGTCTAGGCTGCAAGTTCACATTCTTGCAAAATCAGCTACATACTTTTAAAATTAAAATATCTGTATAATGTGCAATTAGATTGAGATGTTTTCTTTATCAATAATAAGGAAATGATTTTGCAAAACTTTTAACCGAGTCCCTTTTCCCTCTCTCATAGGATTAAATTTGTGTGGATTGTGGATTTTTGAATATAACCTACACTTTATGGATTAGCCTAGTACTTGCTCTTCTATTATTGTTTGTAATTCTCACAATAATGTTCTGTGGTGTATACTGATTTATCCCTTTTAGAAAAGAACATCTAGGGTCATGTCTGGTATTCATATACCTCATGTCTGGTATTCATGATTTTAACTTCAGGAATCTTGTCTGGGTATATCCCCTCATCTATCCTCTGTTTCAGTAAATCCCAACCAAAGAATCACTATGTACCTGAGATCAGGTGCCAATACATTATAAGTAATTTACCACTAATAATAAAATAGTGATGAGCAACTGATTTAGGTTGAGAAATTAGAGCTGATTTGGGATTATCTGAAGAGTTCTGCCACCCCCATACATTTCTCTCCATATATTGTTCTTTAGTGGGGACAAAGTGCAATTGGAGAATAAGAAATGTTATCACCCAGATGATAGGGAGCATCTTTAACATTCTCTAGAATGCGAATGGTCCTTGGCTAAAGAATCAACATTCCCCTCACTTGTGGCTACACTAGCCTGGACTGGAGCTGAGGGGGGAGGAATTTAGACAGACATTGCATATTACTGCCTGTGGCCTGAGGGACAGGGTTTAAAAAAACCTGAAGGTTAGGAGTGGGGGCAAAGGGGAGGAGATAAAACTCCTGCATAGTAGCAGGAAAGATTGACTTCTTTTTTTGTGAGAGGTAACCACATAAATTGAAAATTATGGGAAGAAATAAAATATTATTATTTGACTGTTCTGACTGTGACATTGATGCTTATCTTTGCAAATGTGAGTGTTTGTGTTTGGTTTTAATAGTTAGGAGCTGGATGATATGGAAAAGTAGGAGATTTTTCTCTAATTCCCAGTTGTGGACCCATTTCAAAGCATGGCAAAATAGTCTGGAATAATCCGTGGGTTCTGAAGTATGACAGGACAGGCTGAATTGAGCTGTAGCTCTCCTGAACCTCAGTCAGTCAGAATGAATTTGACTCAGGATACTGATTACTGGGGGAAGGATGAGGCATCCTGGGACAAGACCTAGTTCTTTGGACTGGGGTAGGGTAGCTCCAAAGCTTGGGAGAGAACTTTCCAGAAGAGAGTATCAGTGATTACTTTCATTATGTATCACAGATCCCAAAAGCAGAAAATGAAGAGAAGACCTCGGGTATGCTTACAGGGCGAGTCGAAGCTTTAGAACAGGACACTTGAGAAAACTCAGTGGTTTTCTCGTGAATCCATGACATTTGCCCTGATAGTTCAGGAAAATAAGTCCTTATTCCCAAATTGGACCCTGATTAAAATTTTTCAGGGACATATACATCCTAACTGCTGGTTAGAGCTTACCTACCAAAATTAAACCATTTGCCTCTGACTTAGTAAAAATGTGTTAAATTAAGTAAAGAATTAAGACAATTATGCAAATAATTTAGCCTTCCAAAGTAGTTTTCCCTGAAAAATCCATCTAATTAAGGACTTTCTTTTTTTAACTTGAATTTTCTCCAACTGCTTTTGGGTTCAGTTAATTGAGCCATTACCTGTGAGAGGAAATACTACTGGCAGGAGGAGGGTGCTGAGATTTCTGTGTAGTGAGGAAAAAAATCATAACTGAATAAATAAAATGGCTGCATTTCCCCATTCCAGGGGAAGGGCTAGTTCAATATTTTAAATTTCGCTTTATTTATATTTAATTTAGCTTTAAAAGTGAGGGCTCTTCTGTGTAGTGATTCACCTTCATTTGCCCTGATAAACCTTTTGGATTGAGAATGGTAAGATGTTGAGAGCCACAGCCAAAGGGGCCCCAGCAAACTTCCAGCTTCCAGCTGATGATTGGCTCACAGCTGCCCCAGCAAACTTCTAGCTGCCAACTGATTGGCTCCTCTGCGGTGATGCTCATTGGGCTGTTTCCCCACCCTTTCAGACCACAGAGCTGCTCATTGGGGGACTTTTTTTGGCTCTGCCCACGGGACCCAGCCAATCAGCCTCAAGAGCAGGAGGAGTGGGAGAGGTTGAGAGGCTTGTGGGAAGCCAGTGGTGGCAGTTGGGCTCTGAGGGTTTTCCTAAGGAGCTGTGTGGTGTGGTGTGTGTGTTCTAAAAATAAAGTTCGTTTCTTTTGACAAGTGGCTCCTGAATTGTGCCCAGCCACACTGGGGCATTAAGACCCCTTGTAAACTTTAAAGTCTGAAGAATGGGAGTCAGGGAGCCCACAGCTGGAGCAGAGTGGAGAACATCTGCCGAGAAAGGAGGACGCCAAGATGAAGGAAACAGATACTACCTTTTAGGAATTCCTCATTGCAGAGAATAGCTGGTTGATTTTGGAGGAGAGATGCCAGATACAAATCTATAAAAGGATATAATTATACATATCTTGGTTTTTGTAAAGGAATTATAGAGAATAGAAATGCAAACAATATAAAAGAATCTAGGGTAAAAGTGTCCTGTTCTCAAGTGTCCTGTTCCTAAGCTTCTACTCGCCCTGTAAGCACATCCCAGCACTTCTTTTCATTTTCTGCTTTGGGAATCTGTGGTTCATAATGAAAGTAACCACTGATACTCTCTTCTGGAAAGTTCTCTCCCAAGCTTTGGAGCTACTCTATCCCAGTCCAAAGAACTGTGTCTTGTCCCAAGATCCCTCATCCCTCCCCCAGTAATCAGTATCCTGAGTCAAATTCATTCCGACTGACTGGGGTTTGGGAGGGCTACAGCTAGATTCAGCCTGCCCTGTCGTGCCTCAGGACCCATGGATTATTCCAGACTATTTTGCCATGCTTTGAAATGGGTTCACAACTGGAAATCAGAGAAAAATCTCCTACTTTTCCATATCGTCCAACTCCTAGCTATTAAAATCAAGATTCAGGAGCTGGACTGCCTTCATTTAAACATTGGGCCCAACACCTTTGGTTGCACAATCCTGGGTGGGCCAGTTCCTTGACCTTTCTGGGCTTCATATTCCCCAGCTACAATATTAGGATAATGGTGGCACCCACTTTGTAGAGTTCTCCAGGGGAATAACTGAGTTAGTATCTGCAAAGAGTTGAGAGCAGTAGCTGGCCTATCATAAGCACTATATTTGCATTATTCTTATTAAACATCTTCGAGGAGCTACTCTCAACCCCACTTTGTCCCATGGTGGCTACTCTATTTCTTCAATCCCCTCTGCAGTACTTCTCGGGTCTCTAATTTCTTTCCTTATATTCTCTCTCTAACCAGCATTTCTCAAGCTTTCTTTTGTCCTTTATTGTTCCCCTAAGGAGTCTTTTTAAATGCCTTTTTAACCATCTCTTCCCACCCATGAACTTTCAGTATTGGAGACAAGCTTTACAATACCGCTGTACAAGCTATCGATGTGTGCTCTGTACCACCTTGGAGACTCCTGCTGTAGCAGATCAGACAGGGAGCTCTCTGTACTCACTGCTGCCATGATCTTGACGCAGTCAGGAACGCCCATGGAAAAGAGTCCCCCTTAGGGGTAAGGGATAAACACCTTCCATGGGAAATATAACAGCCAAGCTACCCTCAGTCATATGGCATTCACAGCCCACACCAGAAAATTGGGAGTTAAAAGGTGAATTAATTTTCAAGGCTATGGGAATAAGATTTATAACAAACCAGGAGACGGGAGGCTGGGAAAGCTGGCTCAACCTCTGGACACCATGTTGTGGTCAGCAGAACCGCCAGCTACAACCAGGCGAAGCAGGGTCAGTGCTATTTGGAAGATACTAATATCAGAGATTGTCCCAGATGGTGCGGCACAACTCCAGGGGTGAGGAACAAATGCACGGGCCAAAGAGCCATCAAAGTAACCCCCAGCTACCGGTACCTTATTGGCATAGTATAAAGCCACTGCCTTAGGTGGTAACAAGTCAAGAGACACGGAAGGGGCCTGATGAGGAGAGCAGTCCTCATGAGATGACATCAAGAGACCAAACTCCTGACACCCAGGAGTTTGCCATTAAAGCTATTTCTCTTTGGTCTTTGCTTGAGCCAGCCTGGGGTCTCTGTCCCCCGGTGCTGTCTCCCTGACTCTAGCAGAATCCTTAATAAAGCCTTGCCCGTGCTTGAATTCCTTCTAGGTCTAGTGTTCGTCTCTACAAGTCTGGATGAGAAGTAACGTCCCTCTTAGATTCCAGACTCAGGTATTAGCTACTGCCTTGATATCTCCACCTGGGTGTCCAGTCGACCTCCCCACAGTAACAGTTTCAAGATTTATCTTTTAAAGTGCCTTCCCCAAACTACTCTGCCCACAGTCTTCTTCTTCTTTGTTTTCCTCAAACAGAAAATTCTGATATACCAAAATAAATCCAGAATCTACCACCAGCTTGGTGGGGCCATCATCTGAATGACCGTAGTTGCCTTCTGATGGAGCTCCCAGCTGTGGCCTTGCCCCGCGGTGGTCTCTCTGGAACCCAGCAGCCTGAGTGTGCCTGCCAACGCACAAGTCCGGTCACATCCCTTCTCTGCTCAGCACCCTCCATGGCTCCCTGTCGTACACAGGGAAAACCCTCAGGTCCTGGTCATGACCCCTGTCCTTATTCTACCCTCCCCATTCACTCTACTTTGACCACGCTGGCCTCCCTGCTGTTCCCTGTCCCCAGAAGTCCTTCCCTCCATGAATCTTCATGACTCCTTCTCTCGCCTCCTCCAAGTCTTTGCTCACATGCCACCTTCTCCATGAGACCTTCTTGTCCACCTACTGGCAACTGTAACTCTCTCGTGCCTTGCACTGCTGAGCTCCTTAGCTGCTTCTGTTTTTCCACAGCACTCAGTATCTTTTAGTCTATTCTATAGTTAACTCATTTATTTGTCGTTTATTTTGCCTCCCCTGGTGAAATAAAAATCTAAGGACAGCACTTTTTGTGGTTTTGTTCACTAGTGTATCCCAAGCGCCTGGAAACTTTCGCAACACACCTGAGTACTCCGTCAACATGTGCAGAGTGGATGAGATGAGAGTCTCCCTACCATGCCTGACTCCATGTTCCGAGTAGCTGATGTTGCCGGGTGTGTTCACTGACTGCTACTACAAACATATGACATGAAAATTGAAGCCAGTCCTTACATTCTGCTAAACTGTAATGCTGATCAAACCCTCAGTGAAAGTCTGCTATACCCAACTTTAGGGTAGTTGGAAGAGCGGAGAGAGTGGGGGGTGTTGTTTGTGTGTGTTAAATGGAAAGACCAGAATCAAAGGAAGTGGATCACGAAACCAAAAGAAATAATTCAATGGAAATGCAAAATCAGTGTAAGAGGAGACCGGAAGACACGTAAGAATTCTCTGGGTTATTGGGCTCAGGTTGCTCTTTATTTGATTGATAAATGAAAAGGCCAGACCCATCCCACTGAAGCTAGGAGAACTGGCCATCTCTAGACAGAAGTTACCTGGATGAGAATTGAAGAACGGTGGGTCCTGCTCCTTCATTTCATTTTGCTGATGTGAATACAAGCAGGGTTGAGCTCCCAGCTCGTCTCTAGTTTTCTATTTGTCTCTTGCTCTTATGGAGACCATCTCAACTCTGACAGCTGGGTCCACAGGTGCCACTAGGGCCACTAGGGTGGAGGAGGAGGAGGAGAGACCCCGGGGTTGGATGAAATTCTTCAGGATCCTGGGGTGCCGGGTCTAGAGACAGCTCCACTGTTCCTTCCTCCTTTCTGTAAGTGATCGAAAATGCTGGGATTTGGAATCCAAAGCAGGGACACCATCTCAGTTGATTTTATAGAGCCAGAGGATAGTCCCTTCTGGTTAGAGTGTGTGGGATGGCTGGTCTGGAACGTGTGTTAGTGGAGAAACATCCAGGGAGAAAAGCATGATAACATGGAAACACTGACTGCTATGGCAACAGGTGCAATAATAAACACTGTCTTCTTCCCTAGCAAAAATCCTAGTGTTTGGACTCGGGGCAGCATTTGGAAGGGAAACATGTAATACAACAGTTAGATCTCGTGTCTGGCTTGATTTCTTTTCTTTTTTTTTTTTCCCCCACCCATCCTGGGTTGAAGAGATTTGCTAAATGCCTTATTGGGCAAGTGGAGTCAATTACGTATCATTCGAAAACTCATGTATTTCTAGAGAATTTTTAAAACAAAAGTAACTTAGGGGCTGGGGTTGTGGCTCAGTGGTAGAGCGCTTGCCTAGCATGGGTGAGGCACTGGGTTCGATTCTTGGCACCAAGATAAATAGATAAAATAAAGGTCCATTGATAACTAAAAAAACAAAACAAAAGTAACTTAGAATGTGTGACTTGAAAAGTCGAAAATCATCCCCCTCTTCTCACATTTACTTTTCTGGGGTAACCACTACTAAAGGAACCATCATAGAATTTCTATATACATATGAATGAATTAATAACTGGTTTTGAGTTTTGTTTTTTTGTTATTGAGTAGGTGAGGCTTAATAGGGTACAGTTAATAATTAGTGCATTTTTCCCCCAATGCTTACTTTATATATGCGTCCATGGTTTAATATCCAAAAGGCCACTTGGATAGCCTCATAACTCTCTGATCATGGTTGAGAATTAAAAATCTACTCTGGTATAATTAAGTCTTCAATATCTCATCTAATTCAAAGTTTCTTTCCCTACTGCCCCCATATAAACCTCTGACCCCAGAAAGGTCCTAACCTGTTATTGGTAATATGGTCTGTTCTTTCAAACTTTTTATACCGTGATGTCCTTTGTGGCTTTTGGTTCAATCTGGCCTGTCTTATCCAGCTTGCACTGTTGTAACCTGTGTGTCAGGTGACCAAATGGTGGTTCTTTGGGAAAAATCTCCTCTAAACTCCCTAATAAATATATTGCTTCCCAAATCTGTATCCTACCACTAAGGATCTACCATGGGGTCTCTCGGTCTTATTCACCGTTCAGAAAGCTCATTGGTCCAGTATTCCCTTGACTTGGGAAAGAAGGGCACCATCCTTGAACCTACCCATGAGGACCCAGATCTTCTTGTCTTCTTTGCTCTGTGGCCCTCTGGATGAGCATTCAGCCATCCATAAGGATGTTCCCACCTGGAACTCAATTTGCTCTGCTAGACCTCATTTTTGGATGACAGGACTCCGAAATTCTTTGCCTAAATGGCCCCAGCTTCCAAGGCCTTTGTGGGGTTCTTCCCCATGTTCACAAGAGCCTCATTGCAGAGATATACACCCCCAGGACCAAAGGGTGCTGCTTGCTGGAGATGTGGAAGGAACACGTGTGTGTGTGTGTGTGTGTGTGTGTGTGTGTGTGTGTGTGTGTGCGCGCGCGCGCACTGGAGCAGGGACTCGAGACTGGGACAGGAGAGGAAGATTGGAAGGGCCAACTGTCGCTATGTTTCCGCATTCAAGCATGCACCCAAGGGTTATGAGGATCCTCTGCTTCCACCCAGCTCTCTAGGTCATTATGAAGGTTTCTTTCTCAGGGTAGGATGATAGAGCATGTTTTATTTAGCTTGATTCATACTTTGACACTATGTAGACATGGGCTTCCATTAGCAATCCTGATGTGGGCCCTGGGAATGTTAGTGGTAGACAGGACTCACCCAAAGGAGAACTTAAGCCTCTTCCACCAGCCCAGCCTTGCCGGTACTGGTGGGTTCTGCCACTGCCCTGGCTGCCCTCTCCAGCTTCACAGGTAGCCTCTGCCAGCCTCTCCACTTTTCACTTCTTCAGTCTGGAGGTGGGCATTTCTCTCTCCTGTCCACACCTCTCCAACTATTGACGCTATAGTGGAGATTCTCCCAGAACTCTTCCATGCTCTGTTCAGCAGCCGCGCCAGGTGTTGGCCTTATGAATCGTCTTCAGAATACATCAAGCTGAAGAGTAAGCTCTTCTAGCAGACTCTCTTCCAAAGCTTGAGTAGCTTTCTTGGATAGCATCTCCCATAGCCTGAGGGGCATGGGGAAGGAAGGACATGACTGTGCTCTGCATTCCTGAATGTCCTCCAAAAGAATCTGCTGCATGATCTGAATCTTTTCCATTATTACCTGGAGGTGGACAGGAGACCAAATAGTGAAGGGCCTTTGCCGGTGGGTGAGTCTAGGATCTGTCTTTCAAATGGGCACTTCTAGTTTTTAGCTTTGGGCTTTAACAGAATTCAAAGACAATAGGAAAAGTCCCTGTTAGTAATCTGTTACCCATCCACACAGCACTAGACTTTAGTACCAAATTTGCCTTTTTCATTTGGAGGGCACTTGGTAGAGTCCAACAGCTGCATATATTTCCTGTGGTACATGAGCATGTATTGTAAGTTATTGATCATTCTCATATTTATAGCTATTACTACAACAAATAACCTTTAACATATATCCTTGAGCCAGTATGTAAATATTCCTGGAAGTTTCATTGCTAAGCCAAAGGGTACATATATTTCATATTTTGAAAAGAAGCACATTTTGTGTTTTGATAGGTGGAACCAAATTACTGTTCCAAAAATTGTAGCAATTTATACTTATACTAAAAGTATCCAGGGGTGTTCTTTCCCCCAAACACTTATTCACAGTTAATATTGTCAAACTAAGCTACCCATATCTGTTCTAGTCTAATTGATGAAAAATTAAGTCATTGCTATTTTAATTTGCATTTCCCAGATCATTAGTGAGGTTGAACATCTTTTCCCACATTTACTCGTCATTTATAATTTTGTGAATTATGCTTGTATCCTTTGATAATCTTTCTTGTTTTATAATTAGAGCTTGTGTTCTTTAGCTATAATAAGTGCTTGACTATAAACTATATCGAGAATATCTTCTCACCATCTGTTAATCTCAAGATGCTTTCATGATAAATAGATTTCCGAGTCAAAGGACTATTCTGTCTTGAATCGACTTTAGGTTATTGTCTTTGGAAAACAAAGTAATGAATTGCATGAGTCAAAGTAGATTAGCTGCTGTAACAAATTACCCAACATTTCTATAGCTTTAATCAGGAAGTTTATTTTTCACTCTTGAAACATTTGACATGGGTGTTCATGGCTAGCTCTTTTCCAAGTTGTGACTCATGGACCCAGGATCCTTTTAGCTTGTGGCTCTAGATTCTTAAGAGTCTTTTCCATCAATTAGTAGATGAGAGAGAGGTGGGGGAGAGAAAGAGAGCTAGCAGAGGATGTTATGGGGTGTTTCATGGGCCAGGCTGGGAAGAGGGATACGTCACTTCCCACGTCTTCCCCATTTCTTTTGGCCAGAGCATGATCCTATGTCAAGGGGGACTGGAAATGAAGTCTACGGAGGAGCCCACAGGAGAGGAACACACAGCAACCCCGGCTACACTCAGGCTGACGACTTCTCCAGGCCTCATGATGTTTCTGAGGAAGCCTAGAGGCTCTTGGGAAGAACACACAGGATGGTTCCTGAGAAAGAATCCTGGAAGCACAGAAGCTCATTTAAATGCCAAGAATCATGAGTCCATTAGTCTGAAGTCCTGCCTCTGTCCATTCCTGGTAGCATAATATTTAAAGTCTTCAAGGAGATGTGGCTTCCCTCACACTATTCTATAGGAGTAAATGACAAGTCTCTCAACTCTAAAACGAACAAACAAAACGAAACCTTCTAGAAGTTTCTCTGCCCTTCTCAGAAGTTTTGAGACAGGGGGAAAGTGGGATGATGAGGTAGAAGGGCTGGGAACAGGCAGCCCTTGTGAGGTTTGGGGCTAAAGGTCATAGAGGTGGGGAGGCCGTTGGCTGAGAGCCCACAGCCAAGCTAGAGCTGGGGTGGAGTTGAAGTCAACAGGTGTCTGTGGCTTGAGTGTGGCCTGGGCGAGTTTGAGGAATGTGACTCCTGGAAGGACGACATTGATAAAAGACAGATTAGGACATAGGGAGGAGAAAGACAATGGTGGACTACAGCAAGAGTTTCTGACCCCGTCCAGCATGGGAGGCAGAGAGAGGTGAAGGCCCAGACTGGCGACAGAAACAGTAACCAGAATTGCCCCCCAGAAGTGGCAGGTGGGTTTCCTGACAAATGAAGCAGTATATCATCTGCTTATCTTCAGAATATATGGCCCATTCTCAGCTGATATCACTCTCCACTCTGACCTGGGCTTAGTTTCTTCCACATTATAAGGGGACATCTGGGAGAGTCACCTGTGGGAGAGAGGCTCGCCTATGCCAGACATCGTCTTCTAGCAGAAAGTTTTCATTCCAGGGAAACTACCTGGGCTGTGCACCTTCAGGGAAGGGTCCATGTTTTATTCGTCACTGTTTTTGGTTCATGCTGGGCAACAGCATCTGGAATGAGTGGTGGAGCTGGGGCTGCCCACTGGTAGGCACTGAGGATGCTCTTGGGTGAGTGAAGCCCTCAGGGACCACTCCACCATTTGGCATGTGCTATTTTATTTGGTTGTGCTCTAAATCTTACCTTGTGCTGAGTTTTGGATATGAGGTGTCCCTCCAAAATCTCTTGTGAATGCAGAAATATTCAGAGGTAAGATGATCAGATTGTGAGAGCGGTAACCCAACCACCAATGCATCCTAGTTTGAATGGACTGATTGGGTGCTAACTGTAGGTAAGTGGGGCATGATTGGAAAAAGTGGGTCACTACGTGCATGTTCTTCCTATGCCCCACCCCCTTCTCTGCTTCCTGACCTCCTTGTGAGCTGGGCAAGTTTCCTCTGTGAGGCCTCCTACAAAATGTGCTCTCTCATCTTAGACCCAGCCATGGCGTCAGCTGTCTATGGACTGAGATCTCTGAAACTGTGAGCATCCCAATAAACTTCCCCTCATCTAAAATACCTTGTTTCATTTTTTTTAGTTGATAAAAAAAATAAATGACAGCAGAATGCATTACAATTCTTGTTACACATATCCAGCACAGTTTTTCATATCTCTGGTTGTATATAAAGTATGTTGACACCAATTCGCGTCTTCATACATGTACTTTGGATAATGATGTCCACCACATTCACCATCATTGCTAACCCCCTGCCTCCTCCCTTCCCCTCCCATCCCTCTGCCCTATCTAGAGTTCGTCTATTCCTCCCATGCTCCCCCTCCCTACCCCACTATGAATTAGCCTCCTTTAATCAGGGAAAACATTCAGCATTTGTTTTTTTTGGGATAGGCTAAACTTCACCTAGAATTATCTTCTCCAACACCATCTATTTACCTGCAAATGCCCTGATTTTATTCTCTTTTATTGCTGAGTAATATTCCATTGTGTATATATGCCACATTTATTTTTTATTTATTTATTTATTTTTTTTGAGAGAGAGAAAATTTTTAATATTTATTTTTAGTTTTCGGTGGACACAACACCTTTATTTTATTTTTGTGTGGTGCTGAGGATTAAACCCCGTGCCCTGCGCTTGCCAGGTGAGCACATTTCTGCTTGAGCCACATTCCCAGCCCACACATTATTTTTATCCATTCATCTATGAAGGGCATCTAGGTTGGCTCCACAGTTTAGCTATTATGGTTTTTAGCTATGTGTGATTTTAAGTCCTTTGGGTATAGACTGAGGAGAGGGATAGCTGGGTCAAATGGTGGTTCCATTCCCAGATTTCCAAGGAATCTCCATACTGCTTTCCATAGTGGATGCACCAATTTGCAGTCCTACCAGCAATGTATGAGTGTGCCTTTTCCCCCCACATCCTCGTCCACGTATTGTTGTTTTCTTAAGAGCTGCCATTCTGATTGGAGTGAGATGATATCTTAAAGTAGTTTTGATTTGCATTTCTCTAATTGCTACAGATGATGAACACTTTTTCATATATTTGTTGATTGATTGTTTATCCTCTTCTGAGAAGTGTCTGTTTAGGTCCCTGGTCCATTTATTAATTAGGTTACTTGGGTTTTTTTTTTTTTGTGTTTAGCTTTTTGAGTTTTTTATATACCCTAGAGATTAGTGCTCTCTCTGATGTGTGAGGAGTAATCATTTGCTCCCAAAATGTAGGCTCTCTATTCATCTTACAGATTGTTTCTTTTGATGAGAAGAAACTTTTTAGTTTGAGTCCATCCCATTTATTGATTCTTGAAACACTGGCCAGAGCAATTAGACATACGAAAGAAAGTCATGTATAGGAAAAGAAAAACTTAAATTAGCACTATTTGCTGATGATATGATTCTATACCTAGAAGACCCAAAAGCTCCACCAGAACTAGTAAATGAATTCAGCAAAGTAGCAGGATATAAAATCAACACCCATAAATCAAAGGCATTTTTGTAGATCAGTGACAAATTCTCTGAGAAGGAAATGAGGAAAACTACCCCATTTACAATAACCTCAAAAAACAAAAAATACTTGGGAATCAACTTAACCTTGTTTCTTTTTTCATTTGACATGATTTTTGAGATCTATTCCCAATCCTAGGTATAAATTTATTTCTGACTGCTCTATAATATTTCACTATTTATACCAAACTCACTAGAGATAAAACTGATTGTTTCCAGTAACTAACTCTGGTTGCTAGCTATCACTTCACTTAAAGTATGTTCTTGTACTTGTTTTCAAAAGTGCAATTTTTCTTTACTTGTTTAGTGTTTACTAAAATGGTTTCAAGTATTAATTCATTGCCTTCTTAACTAGTTTTTAGTTTTCTCTTAAGCAGATAATAATAGAATCTACCTCACAGGGTGGTAGTGGGTATAAATGAGATCATGTATATGAAGTGCTTAGCACATTATCTGGCAAACTGGCAATTCTCAATAGATGGTATAAGCTCTCCAGAGCCTAGAACACATTAGGATTTTAATAAATACCAATTACAGTAATGAATGTTTGATTACCTCTGGTGATTTGGGGTCTACTTCCCCATAATGTTAGGTCCCAGACCACTTGAAACACAAAGTATTCGGGAGATAGTAATTACAACAGTCACCATTAATCCTCCCAAATTATTCCCCTTTTACAGATGATGAAACTGAAACTCAGAGAGGTTACGCATCTTGCTTATGATCATTCAGTATAGTTGGTGGCAGAATTGGGGCTCAAACTCCAGAGTGACTCCCGGGCATTCATTTTTAGCTATTCTGCTGTATTATCACCTAGGAGAAGTGTGCTCCGATTATTGATGCTTCAGCAAAAACAATTTTCATTTTCTCTCTGTGTAGATAATAAAAAACTTAAGATTTGATTAATGTTTACTGAATCCTAACATTCAAGCTCTGCCAGAACTATTTTTGGGTTATATTTGTGCAAGCCCCTTTGGGGTGGCACAGTCGTGTATACACAGCTCGGTCGGCACAAGCCAAATGGGAGTCCAGCTTCCACTTGTCCCCTAATCTGGGTACCGGTACTCAATACACAGACAGCCCAGGCAATTTAAGTGCCTTGGGAGTTTGTTTGGAGTATGTTTCCACAATCGTGTGGGCTGCGTACCATCCTACTTCACAGAAGAAAAGACTGAGGTTCAGAGTTACAACAATTCCAAGGCTTCCCAAGTTTCAAGGTTCAAATCAGACTCTTTTGACTTCAAATTCAGAGACTGATAAATATAAAGCAGAATGATTTTAGTGGGGTCTCCCTGGAGGAAAGATTGGCCTGGAATTCAGGAATCACTGCATAGAATCTGCTAAGTTTGACAACTACTATTCTCCTGACCCTCTTGTTTGGATGTGGCCTCTCTGGTGAGGGAGGGATGTGGTTGTTCCTCTGTATTCTAGAAGAGACAACGTCCTAGGCAGGCGAAGCTCACTGCTGAGCCAGGGCAAGATGGCAGCGAGGAGGTCAGGGCCAGGGCCAGAACCAAGGAGCACGGAGAGGGTCTTCTAATGAGGTCAACTTCCTGGTTGATAAAAGGGCTCCTGGACACGAGTGTTGCGGGGGACCCAATCCGACAGACAGTTCTGCACTTGTGTTCCTAAGCAGGGCATCCAATAGAAAAACTAAAACATATGCATGGACAGAGAAGGCACCAATCAATAAGAGAGAGGAGAGTGTGGACAGGGGAGGAGATATGGAAAGGAGGAAGTCCCAGAGATTAAAAAAAAGAACAAGCCAGAACTCCCCCACTGGATTTCCAGCTCTGGGGCCCCCTCTCTTTGGAGAAGTCTGTCGCTTTTGCAATAAACCTGCTGCTTGCTTGCCATCTCTGTGTCCTGTTCTTCAATTCTTTGCTGAACAGAGTGAACACACCCAGCACCCTAGACAGCAACATGGGGGCTGGGGAATGTGGGTGTTTGGAGGATGTTCTGAGCTCCTGGAAGAGCAGGGTTTCAGGTTTAGTGCACACATTGTGCTGCTTCTACGCAGGGTCCTGGAAACACACTGCATTTACAGGGGCCCATGCCTGCCCCAGAGGCAGAAGATCATGCATGTGGCTGAGTGGGGACAGACTGTTCAGAGCTGTGGTTCAGATGCTGAGCTCCACAGAAAGTCAGGCTGGAGTTACCACCTGACTTGGCCATGACCAGCAAACCTCTTAGTGCCTGTTTTCTCACCTCTTTCCTTATGTTTCTATGACTTTTCTAGCCCTTTGGAAAATCGAGTTTATGATTTCCTTAAAAAGTCCTGAAGTCAGTGAATGGTGTGAACATACTTTGTATACAACCAGAGATACGAAGAATTGTGTTCTATATGTGTAACATGAATCGCAATGCATTCTGCTGTCATGTGTAA